CACTTAAAGAAGACTTTGCCAAGACTCTCTCTCGACACTGTAATCACAAGTAGCTCACATTGCGTAGGCCTTCCCAGAGAGCTGTGACGACATGTATCTCATTTCTATCAGAGGCCATTATCCCTGTTCTATTGGGCATGCAATGGCATCGATATGCAAAACAAATACAAACCTCCACCGTACTATTACTGCTAGCAACTTTATTGCCTACTGAGATTATGGAGTCTGTTAAATATTTTGAACATGAAGTCCCAATGGCTTTAGGAAGCGAGATGCATGATCATTGCTATAAACATGAAACTGAGATGCAGAAAACCTGCAAAAAATAATGACAGTCTCATGCTACTTTGAAAGTCATGTTCTTTTTAATCTCCCCCTGAAAACTATGACTGATTCTCCCCGTTCTTGGGCACAGGGCTGAGGATGGCAGGTAGGGAGGGTGGTGGGTGGATGGGGGGGGTGGACGGGTGAGAAGAGGAGAAGGCAAGGCAGAACCAGAGGCCACCTGAGGAGTTCCACATAGACAGCAGAGCCCCCAGACCTGTAGTTCCACAGCCCTGTCCTACAGCTCTTGCTCTTCAGGACCACCTTGGGCCAGTTATGATTCTTCAGAAAAGGCTCAGAGCCTTTGTTACCCAACTGCTAGGCTTATGATAAAGGTGGAAAAAGCAGACGGCTGCTGACATTTCACACCTGTAATCCTAGCTACTCTGGAGGCTGAGATCCGAGGACTACATTTGGAGCCAGCCCAGGCAGGAAAGTCTGTGAGACCCTTATCTCCAATAAACTACTCAGAAAAAGCCAGAAGTGGTGCTGTGGCTCAAGTGGTGGAGCTCTAGCCTTGAGCAAAAGAAGTTCAGGGGCAGAGTCCAGGCCCTGAGTTGAGTTCAAGCCCCAGGGCTGGCAAAAAGGAAAAAGAAAAGAGAGAGAGAGAGAGAAAGGCAGTTAGTCAGGGAAATAAAAAAAAAGTGAGGGTGTGTTTGGGTGGAGCAGGTTACTAATGCAGAGGGAAAGAAGCAAACCTAGGCAGAGAGCAGAGCCAGATAGAGGTGGGTGGATGTCACCAGTCACCCATAGAACCAGTGTGTGTGATGGCTCCAGTCAGGCTCTTGCTGGGGATGTCAGGGGACAATAGGTAAGACTGTAACCTACACAATGACTGAACAACACCTCCCCCTCCACACACACACACACACACACAGCTCCCAAGTGAACTGAAATTGAGATGCATCACAGAAGCAGGAGAGGAAGAATGGCGATCTGGACACAAGAGTGCAGGTGTGGCACAGCTCTCCAGGGTGGGCACAGGAAGCTTTGTAGGAAGCCGTGGCTCTGCTCATAGGTGAGATCTGCAGAGGGTCTTCTGCAGTTCAGTGCATGTCAGAATGACCTGAGGAACATAGTCAGAATGAGGACTCCTGTCCCACTCAGAGACACGGTGGGGACAGGGTTTCCATGCACATGGCCACTAACTCACACCACCAGAGGTGCCTGCAGGTGGTGGAGGACCAGGGGTGGAGCGAACAGGAGGAGGGCAGGCAGTCACAGACCGTGTTAAGGTTGGGACGGACGCGTAGGGAGAGATGGGCAGTCGGCAGGAGCCGGAGGCTCATTATCAGAGCTTATTTGGAGAGTTGGGAGGACGAGTGGAAGAGGAGGGACTGTGAGAAGAGCTGTGTCTGCAGGGAGCTGGGAGTGACAGCCATGGTGGCTCAGTGATCCAGCCAGCAGCTGACGACTGTCACTGGGGTCACAGAGCGGAGGAGATGGAAAAGGTTTCAAGTACAACCGTGATGCAGTGGATGGCTTTGGGAAGAACATGACAACTTCCTATATAGGAGAAGGGCAGCCACGGGAAGTGTCTAGGAGCTGAGCCAGGAGAGGATGTCCAGGGAATGTTGTCATCCAGCGGTGTCAGAGGCCACAGGTCAGACATGGAGGCTGACTGCTTGAGCAGGCAATCAGAGTGGGATTTGGGAATCTCTACTGCCTAGAGAGGCAGGCAGGGCCACGGGCAGGCCTCCACGTGGGACTGGGAGGTGGGAGAGAAAAGCCCTGGGACTTGTCTTGAACATCCAGGAGAGTCTGGTGTGGACAAGCAGGTGGACTCTGTGGGCCAGAGAGAAGGTGGGCAATGGGTCTGCCCACCCTGCCAGACGTGAGAAGTTAAGATGTGAAATGCTGCAGGTGGCCTTCCATAGGGGGACTGGCTGTTTGGAGTGAGGCTAAGTGAGGTCCGCACGTCTAGAAGGAGACTTTAGGCTGCTGGGAGCTCATCAATCTTTTTTTACCCCCTGGTCATGGGTCTTGAACTCTGGACCTGGGTGCTGTCGCTCAGCTTTTCAGCTCAAGGTGAGCCACTTGAGACACAGTCCCATTTCCAGTTTTCTGGTGGTTTATTGGGGATAAGAGTCTCATGGACATTCCTTCCCAGGGTGGCTTTGAACCGTGATCCTTAGACCTCAGCCTCCTGAGTAGCTAAGATTACAGGCGTGAGCTACCGCCCCCAGCTGGAGCTCATCAATCTTAAGAAATGGTATCTTGACGACAGGGTAACATTGTCCCAAAAGAAATGTACTTTTTACCTGACTTATGCAACTGAAATCCCTCTTGTACATCATCCTTATGATGGCAATAAAAACATAATTTAAAAAATGAAATGATATCTTAACTCAGTATTTAAAAAAATCAGACATAATGCAGACAGAAGTCTAGAATGAGATAAAGTCATGACATTTTAAGTAAATATAGTGCCAAGGGGTAAATTACACCTTTCTACTGCTCTCTGCCAACCAGATTCATTATCTTGAAGCCGTTATATCCCACATGACCGCATTGAGACCCAGCTTGTACACATGTGGCTGTGGTTCACTGAGGTCATAAGCATGGGGCCTGGCAGGATGGAGATGGTGACCACAGGTTTCATCCCCTCCCTCATCCCTTCCCTCATTTCTGCTCTGCCTCTTCTGTCCTCTGCCCTTCCATCCCCTCCCTCCTGTCCCTTCCCTATACCCTTCACTGTCTTCTCTTTTCCTCTCTCCTCCCTTCCCCCCTTTCCTTTCCTCTTCTCCCCTCCTTCTCCTCCTTCTCTTTCTGCCCCCATCTCTTCCTCTCCCTCCAGAGCAGCCAGCTGGCACCAGCCTGTCTGTGGTATTCACCAGGGCAGGCCTTCTGCACTGACAGACAGGTTCTGACAGTGCTGTCCTGAGCATCCGAGAGCTTGAGGCAAAAAGAGAAGAATCTGTCTCTACATTCATGTTTTCATGTTAATTTTTCAGTGGTTAAAGCCCGTAGAGAAGCATCAGTTTGCTTCTGTTAAAGTCAAGAAAGTAAAATTATAATCAGCTCTAGTACTGGTATAAATAAAATATCTAAAGTGTAAACACTGTTATATATTAAAACCTCTATGTGATGCATTTTGCCTGTAATTTTTCAACACATTAACGTTCTGAAGAAAAAAAGGCAATCGCTAAGAATATGCAAGCCACGCGCCGGGCCACACTGCCTCCGTCTGTCTCAGGCTGCAGGGAGAGGCCCTGCTCAGAGGCTAAGAGGGAGATTTTTCTAGGGGTTGACTGCTTGTTTCTTTTGCTCCTTTTTCTTATTGTGCCTACCTGTTAAGGATAATTCTCTGGAAACAAGCAGATGAGGGGATGACAAGTAGAACACACAGTACCCGTTCACTCAGACAAACATGAGGCCTGAGATTTGAGTGAGACCACTGCCTCTAGCCTTTAGATCTGCAGAGACGCCCCCAGAGGACCAGCCTGTGAAGATGTGTCCTGCCCCACCCTCAGCCCTCACTCCTCCATGGACCTGGAAGGGGATCTGAGATCGTGGGCTTTCTCTCTTCTCTTTGGAATCCATCTCCTTTCACAACACTGTGTTCTGGTATATTCTATCCTTTGTACAGACTGGAGGGAAGATCCCATAGTAAGGCTGTGCTGTAGCCAGGAGAAAGTCCACTCTTGTTATCGACTCCTTCTAAGAACACACTAAGATTGTGTGTGTGTGTGTGTGTGTGTGTGCGTGCGCGTGAGGGACAGGAAGTGAGAGAGACATATAGATAAGGACAGAGGTTGAGAGAGACTGACTTGGGGCTTGAACTCAGGGTCTAGGTGATGTCCCTGTGTTTTTTTAAGCGCAAGTTTAGTGTCCTACCACTTGAGCCACAGATCCAATTTTGGCTTTTTAGTACTTAATAGGATCTCATGGGCTTTCCTGCACAGGCTGGCTTTGAACTGTGATCCTCAAATCTAAGCTTTCTGAGTAGGCATGAGCCACTAGCATCCAGCTTGCAGTAAGATCTTTATGCACAGCAATAAGAATAGTGGAAAAATCTCTAAACCCTTAGTTGACTGATAATACTCGATTTTATCCACTTCCTATGTGGACAACTTTCTTTTACCATATTATTTAAAAAATGAATATTTAGGAAGTATTATTATTATTATTGGTGAAATTAGGATTTGAACTCAGGGTTTTATGTTTGCTAGGCAGACATCCTTCCACTTGAGCCATGACATTAGCCCTTTTCGCTTTAACTGTTTTTCAGGTATGATATTGTAGTTTTTTGTTTGTTTTTGTCCTCCTACTAAGGCATTGTGCATAGATGTGATGACAGGTTTGTACCACTGCCCCAGCCCGGCTATTTTTTGTTGAGATGGGGTCCTGACTTTTAACCTGGGTTTGCCTGGCTGTGAGACACTGAGCCTGACTGACCACATTGTGATAGACGACAAGTAGCTTTGCTTCATGAGACCCTATTAAGGAATGGTTTTCTTCTTCTACTTCATCACATACTTGTGTGGCATCGAGTGGCTATTTGATTCCTCTTGTTCAGTAGGAGTTTGCAGACCTTCAGACCTTGAGAAGTTTCTAGAATTCACTTTTGGTCTCAGAAGACCATGCTCACTGAGCTTTTAGGAGACTGTCTGGGGCCTTCCTTGGACAATGACTGTGGTTCTAGGCTTGTGGAAACCCGAGACCTTGGTCCCTACCTGGGCGTGCTCCTGGCTGGGCACGGCGCTCAGACCCGTGGCTGCCATGTAGGTGCTGCCGATCGTCTTGATCTTTTCAACCCCGCTGAACTTTGGCTTGGACAGCAGCTGCAAGGCAGGGACAGACATTGAGTTGGGTAGCTGGCACTGACCAGCAGTCAGGCGTGCGGCAGACGTGGGCAGTCTACCCCATACTGGGAGGCAGGCCAGATTCAGCTGATGTCACCACCCGCCCACACCACACGGGCTTGGCTGGGAGCCAACACGTCATGCATTCATAGAGAGCCACTGTGGCCTTGGAGGAAAAGAGAGCCCGATGATTTACTTTCAGTGAACATGAATTACCTCTCCAGCTTTGCTGCTGAAGGAATTAGAATAAATTACAATTCAATGGCCTCAAATAAATTTCCTGATCCTGTGTTTGCAAGGCATCAATACAAAATTATGATTCCATGAGTGATATCTTTCCCTCAGGGTTAAGTGATTTGTGACAAATTGTCAGCACTGGGAATTGGCCTTGCCTCCTGAGTACTTGAAATGGAGAGAAGAAGTATGGAGAATAAAGATTTGCCCATCAACCCCAACCTAAGGCTTCTAGAGGGTGACCAAGTTACCAGATTTCACTTTGATTTTTCTCTGACCCCCTTCTTTAGGGCTTGGGGTGGGATAGCTGTAATATAAAACCTAGAAGTTGTAGGGAAGGGATGAGGATGGGGGAAGATTCTGGAAGGTTCTATATGAGCTCACAAAGGAAAGGCCCAAATGAAAAGCATTAACTGAAGACCAGAAGCATTCTCTTGCCCCTTCCTGGGCACTCCCACTTTTAGAGAAGTTTTTTTTTCTACCAGAATTACATGCTAAGGAACTTAAGCTAGATGAGCATGTCACCATTTCTTCTATTCACCTTCTCCTGTCTAACACATCCACATAACCTCTGTCAACCGTCCATCAGTACTGGGGACTTATTTCTGTTTTACCAAGGAGTTGTTTAAGCAAATGTGCCTTTGCTTCCCTTTATGACATGGCAGAAAGTAGAAATCTTGAAATATGTGCAGACATGCCAATAATCTACTGTAATAAAGAGACATTCTATTTTAATATGCAAAGGGATGGACATGCACTTTCCCTAGAGGTCAAACTTTTCTAAAGGGTTTATTAGTGAAATTGTAGCTGTCTCAGTCATATCAGAATTCTACAACAGAATTCTTTTGTCTCTCCCAAATTGGCCAGGGACCTAACTATAGTCCATAGATGTAACTCAAACCACCACAAATTAGGCCAAAGGGCCTGTGTGAAGAAATCAACCCACTTCAGATGCACAGGAATTGCACACTACAGGACTGGGCCTTCCCCTGGCTTTCAGGATTATGTTTGGTACCTACATCATCAAAGTCAGCGATGATCTCATTCAAGAGCCGGAGACATTCCAGACCTTCCTTGTTCACGTCTGATTCTGTGTAGAACTCCTTGAAGTCCGGAATAGAGGCAAACATGACACAGACACATTCGTAGGACTGGTGATATAAATCCTGCCAGGAGAAAAAGAAGAGCTGAGCACCAGGAAACCCTTCCAACAAAGACCCCCAATGCAAGTGCTTGTTTATGTTCAGATGATAAAGAAGCCCCTCAAGAGCCCACTCACCCCTTCTTAGCCCTGCCTCTGCCCCATCCATGTGCTACTGACCAGGAGGCAGTGAAGCTTCTAAACAGCAGATACAGATTCCCAACCCCACCACAAGTTAATAGGAGACATCCTCCCATTAAACTTCCCCGCCCGCATTGCTACCTGAGATCACTACAAGTGATCAGAATCTGGCCTGGGATCATTTCCCAGATGACAGTATTGTGCTAAAATACACGACGATAGCTATATTCTTTGTATGGGAATTTTTATGAATCCACCCCTGTGGGTGTGGCAGCGGTGGGGGTGGTAAGAGGAGAGGATAAAATCCACCAAGTGGTTTTAATTATACCTGAAAGAACCACTGGAAGTCCCCACTTCCAGTGGACTTCATGCAAGTCCCCTTTGACTTCAAGTGGAAAGAGACTTGTAGCTCTTCATCACAGATTTGAGTAAAACTGCAACATCTTACACACACTATTTCAAGGTGTGTCCATAATTTTACCACTCTACAGTGACACCTTCCAGTTCAACTGAAATTTCAGAAAGGAAAGGCTCTGGGTGGGCGGGGTCTGCTCTGAGGTTTGGAAAGTCTGCCCTCCCACTGGCCCTGGGTTTCCAGGCCCCTGACCCAGGCACCACCATCAGGCTGTAGTGCAACATGGGAAACACTCAGACCACTGGGAGAGAGTTTGCCAAACAAGATGGTTGACCTTAGGGTGGAGGGATCCTTGCCCTTGTGAGTGGCTGGTGCTTCCTGTGTGACTGGCAGGCCAGGGACCCCACTCTCGTGGACACCGCCTGCGAGCGCTCCTCTGTGGGACACTCAGATGAATCCTTGACAGGACGACATGAGGAACACTACGACTCTAGTGACTGCTGGCCTCTCGGAGGGAGGTTGGTTGCCTTCCCTGGTCTCATAAATGTATCAGGGCCACGGCAGCCCAACTGAAGATCACGACAGCTTCAAGGAAAAGTAGACTCATGTCACACTCTCATTTCCAGTGCCCATCAACCTGCAGCGCCTTCTGTTACATGGACAACAGAATGAAGACTTGCTCACTTGATCGTGTGTCCGCATTGTTGAGCACTGGTTGGGCAGATCTGCCCTTTGTTTCTCTCCTAGTAACACTGTGAACATTGGTATTCACAGCAGACAGCCCATGACGCAGGTGACGGCCGAGGACAGATGCCGGCACTGCTGACGGCAGCCCGCGAGTCCGGGGAACAGGGAAGAGATGGCCACTAGGAGCCTGTTTTAGTTGAAAACGTCAGTTTTCATGTAAACAGACTCTCCATTGAAGAAGAGGCTAGCACACAGTTTCTGTACCATCAATTTACCCACTGCCTTTTGTCATTGGCCGAGTGACCCCTGGGGAACGAAGATGATGTCAAGAATAAGCAGGATAATTTAGTACCACGTGTCAGATGGGCACCTCTCCGAGCCCTCCGTGTGACTACCATCCTCTGAGTCTTATGCTATGGCTTCCCAACTGCAGATAAAGCCACTGAGGCACATGGTTCCCAGGCTCAATGGTGGCCATGTAGGGCTGGCCTGGCCAGGATAGCGCAGAATGGAGAAGCTTCTGGAAGTTTAAAGGGAGCAAAGAAGAGGCTCCTGAACAACCGGGCTCACGCACAGTTGCCAGGCAGCTCCAGGCCCACAGGCTCTCAGCAGAGGTGTGAGCCTCGCAGTGTCCTCTGGGATGAGCCTAGCACAGTGTACTATGGGATGGAGGAAACAGATCCTTCCCGCCAGGTAGAGCAGGAAGTCCCATGCCACAGCAATCCATTCACAGAAGCCAGGAGCAGAGTTTGCCATGGTTTATGCACTCTGATGAGTTTAGTTCAAAGTCTAACTGTATTCCTTTGAGTAGCCGCGTTCTCAATATTCATTCTGACCAACCAAAATGTCAGGAAAGTACACAGCACTGTAGCCGTGTGACTGAAACACAGAGTCTCGCAGCAGTGGCAACCTTGCAGGTCACAGGACCGTGTCTGTTGTTCTAAGCGCCCAGCTCAATTGGTCAGCGGCCATCCAGTGCATCCTAACAACACTCAGAAACTGCTGAGGGTCACGGCTCTAGTGGCTGCTACAGAGCATACAGTGATTTGTTCAGCTTGAATGTGGAGAGGCCCAGGGATGAGCCGTGGTATGTCCCTGCAGGGCTGGGCTGTTCTCGGTCAGGTGTGCACTGGGGACTGTGTGCTCCCAGGGAAGGAGCAGCTATCTCTTGAAAGTCACTGCGAGGAGTGTGGTGAATCGGCACTAATATCCCAAACTGCCTGTGCATTGAGGCAGAGGCTGAACCAGGCCTCCGCCCAGGCCTCTGACTGTCACCTCAGGACTCAGATCAGGTTGAGCCAGCCCGGTCCACACATAGAGCCTTTCCCCTCCCAGCTGCCTGCACAGAGATATCTACAGCAGATACTCTGTCCACATGTCTTAATGGATCCAATTAGCTGCATTAGAAGGAAAAAACCCTCGCTCGGAAAACAGCTCTCTAGTGGCACAGAGTCTCTGCTGTGACACACAGTAGGACCACAGAGGGAAAGAAGGCATCCATGTGGGCTGCCAGCACCAGGGCCTGGGCACTGTCCTGCCCTGTGACCCTCACTTAGGCCAGTGTGGCTCCCTGCTTGTTGCTCTACGAAATGCCCGTCTCCCTGGTACATGGCCCAGTGCCAGTGTCCCGATTCTACTTAGCACAGCCACAATGCCACCTTCTTACCAATGGGGAGACCAAAGCTCAGATCCTGGCGCTGGCTCAAGGTCGCAAAGCAGACAGTGAGGGGACTAAGATGCACACCCACAACAAATAGCTCACTTTTCATCTCTCTCCTTGCTCTACCTTCCCTGATGACTGCCGACGGTGCTGCGGCGTTCCAACACTGCTCAGAAAACACCAAGCAGGAAGGAACAGAGAACACGCTGCTTTTGCTGGCCTGGTGCTGGGAGGTTCTTGGTGGTTCTGGGTCCCATCAGGTCTATGACACAGAGCCTCCGTGGTGGCCTCTTCCTGCCGTCCCCTTGTCCTCCAGGTCTTCAGTGTCTCATGGAAAGGATCTCCATGGAGTCCAGAAACTTCTTCCCTGTCCCTCTCACTCTCTGGCCTCCATCTCCCACCTAGCTTCTAGCACTGTTTCAGATTCAGAAATCCCTCCCTTCCTCATGGTTGACATCCCCCCTCCCAACCTTCACTATGCCAGCATCCGTGGAGATAACAGACTCTGGTCCCCAGGAGGAGCAAGGAGCGTGGCCTCTGTGCAGATCATCTCCATGACCAGGGCCGAGCTAGCTTAGCTTCAGGATGGAGGCAACAGCAGGAACTTGCTGAACTTAAACCTGAATCAAAAGCTGGAGTATAGACAGACTCATGGAAATAGATCATTCCATAACTGGAAAATGGATTTCATTAGCTGTGATCAGTAGGGAAACAAGTTGCTCAGATGCCTTGTGAGCATAGAAAACACCAGAAGAAATAGAGTCAAAGAGTCATCTCATCCTGCACCTTCTGAGGAGGAAGAGGGCAGCAATTTCCAGAATGCCACCTACCATGGGCTCTTATCTTTCAGATCAACATTAAATACTCATCAGAGAAAGGTGCAGAGCCTTTGAGCTGAGTCTCACCTGAGATGAGATGATGGCTAAGGAGTTAATTTGTCAGTGGGGTTCTCTCTGCTGCCTTCCTGTCTGTCTCTGCAAACCTCTGAAACCTCACAGATCTGACCTTTATGACACAGTAGCCCTCAGGTGCCATTTTCAGACTAAATTATACTATAGATCTGGCTGCTCTATCTTGCAATTCAAAAATATTAAAGAAATTGCTTGACATTTCATTCCATAATTGAGTTCAGTAGTTCAGTGACATCCCAGGAAAACATCTATTCCATTTCTACCCATTCAGATGGACGAATCCAACTCTTCGTCTGGTGTCATGTGGATCTGGCATGTTGTCTCATTATTTTTGAAATTCTAACATCTTTTTATTTATTTATTGTCGGTCATGGGACTTGAACTCAGTGGGCCTGGGAGCTGTCCCTGAACTTTTCTGCTCAAGGTTAGCACTCTACCACTTTGAGCCACAGCTCCACTTCGGTTTTCTGGTGATTAATTGGAGATAAGAGTCTCATGGCCTTTCCTGCCGGGGCTGGCTGTGAACCGAGATCCTCAGTTCTCAGCCTCCTGTGTAGCTAGGATTCCAAGCTTGAGCCACCAGCACCCAGCTTTGAAATTCTAACATGTTTCAGAGGTTCCCAGGGAAGCACAGCAAAGGAGACCTGGGCATATAGACTGTGCGGCTTATCCTGGCCTTGGAATTTGGGTTCCATTGTATGCGGGAGGACAGTGTTCTCCTAAATTAGGGAGAAGGAAGTGGCCACTGGTGGGGAGGGTATTTGGGACTGCAGGGTCTCATAAAATTCTCCAGAACTTTATACGATTGGGAAAAAAAAAAACAAAAAGAAAACACAAACAATTTCCAGAAAAGAATCAGGTCCTTGCTGAGACTTTAAAAGGTGATTGCCATTCAGTACTTCCAACTGGCCACCCATCAACAGCCACTCAGGCTGACCAAGGCCACCAGTCACAACGAGTATGCAAAGTACCACATCAGAATCTCTTCCAATTCAAAGCTCTGCTTCCCCCGCGCCCCCCTCTCCCCCCATCCCCAGAGCATGGCCACCAGGGCCAGCCCCAGCCCTCCACCCCTCTGACCTCGTTTTTCAGGCTCCTGGCCAGGAAATGCTCCGCCACGTGGGCGGGAAGCACGTTCTCCAGCAGCACGCGATTCAGGTTCTCCATCGTCTCTATCTCCTCCCGCTCTTTTTTGAACTTGTTCTTCCACAAGAAGTCTAACCTACAGTAATATTCATTCTGTTACAAGAGGACACAGAGGTAAAGAAACAATAGGCATCTTGTCCTGCCAGAGAGTGGAGGTTTCAAAGAGAAAATCAAAAGAACAACACAAAACCACACCCAGAATCCTCCCACAGAAGGACACCCTCCCCACAGACCCCTCTGCCAACTAAGCAAAGCAAGGAACCATCCTGAACAACAGTTGTGGCGCAGGGCTTACAAGTCTAGGTGACAGCAGAGCTTCCTGAATGGCTGTGTTAATAAATCATGGCTTGGATTATCCTTGGAAAGGGGCACGGTGGAGTACAAAGGGTGAATCAAAGGAAATGAGAGCGAGCACAAAGCCGTTCAAAGACCCGTCATAGCCTTCCTTGTGGCAGACTGACTTTACTGTTTGTAAATGACTTTCTGTTGTCCCAAATTACACGATTAAGTCTTCATGGTAAAATATGATAGTTTCTGTACATAGCTATGCCATTATGTGAAGATGAAGCATGTGCTGACATCATTTAATTTAAGGGAGTTCCTGTCAGTGAAAATATTTGTGTTCATACTTTAGAGTATATTTAAGTAAAATGGTTTTTAAAAGGCAGATGTTACTTATACGGTGGAAATGGAGACACTCATGTACTGACAAGGGTCTTTCTGGTGTTGGGTTGTCATGGGTCTCTGTCTCCTCTGATGTAGGTGATGGAACATGATCTATCTTGACTGAGTCCACACAGAAGGAGAGAATGTAAGGACAAATAAATGCAAAAGGGGTTGCATGCAAGGGTTGTCTATTAGGTGAATAATAATGATGGTATGAGTATAACAGCACACACATCCACAATACACAATAGCCTCTCATGTAGAATTTTAAATAATTCACATTCCCCAAACTGAAAAAAATAAAGATCGTTTATCAGTTATGTTTGATTCTAACTACACATGATTAAAAAAAAACAAAACAAAACTTCCCCTCCTTCTCTGCTCTGGCATTTATTTTTGCCTCATGTAGACAAGCATTTTTTCCCTTCTAAATACACTGCTCAAAAGACATTTTAGATGTTTGTTCATATTTACATGAAAGCCAAATTTCCCACCACACCGTACTAATACATAGTGTCGTGTTCACTGGGAATAATGATGTGTGTGTGGACTGTGGGGGCCAGCCCGGGATGGGTCTGAAGTGGCAGATGCACTGAGCCGTGGCACCCAGGTGACGATGTGCACACCCAGCCCTTGGTGGGAGCTGCAGGACTGCAGCCGCCTCCTAGAGGGAAGTTTGGATAGTGAGCCCACTGCCATGCCGAGAAGTTACGCAGGCTTCCAGAGACGCCGTTTGTCAGTCTATGCCCAGAAGGAAATCAGTAGCTTGGAGCCAGTTGTATTGCCTGAAAATGGCATTTTCCTCCTTCATCTGTCTGGGTGCCTTGCTGTTCCCTCCCCAACCCCCTTTTCTGGTTCTGTGCTTGGTCTGGCTATGAATACCTCCCAAGCCACATGGGGCTTTGCACCTCCACAAGCAGTTTCCAGGAAGTGGTGCTGTGGCTCCAGTGGTAGAGAGCTAGCCTTGAGTTGAAGAACTGAGGGACAGCGCCCAGGCCCAGAGTTCAAGCCCCATAACTGACCAAAAAAAAAAAAAAAAAAGAGGATCGATCTGGGCTGAGCTGCAGGGCAGCATGCAATTCTGCCTATCCTTGAAGACTGAGCTCCTCCTCCACAGAATGACCTTGGCCTGACCTTGGGGTCAGGCAGCTGCCCCCAGTTCATGCTGTTAATTCACGCCACCTGGAGTACAGACAGATGCTCGCTGGGTGTGCAGCCAGGATGAAATGTGTGCCTCTCCCTTTTCAAAAGAGGGTCTGGGCGGGCTCACATTTCAGTTATGCACTCGATTTTAGTACAGCAATAGCACTGTAGATTTTGAATAAGAGATGTGTTACATTTTCATTAAGGTTACTTAGAGTTCCCATACTTGGTACGGAGAATGCTAATTTGTTCAGAAAGAATACATATGCATAATGTGTATGAAATGGCCATAGGGCAGAGAGGCCATTAGAACCAATCACAATGAAGCTAAGTTGTGAACCATCTATCCAGTCGCTTACTAACCAATCAGAAATGCAGTGACTACCAGGACCCAGTGCCTGTGGCACTGGGAGATGCTCTATTCAAATATGGGGCAGTTGTCTGCAGCATGCTAGCGAAGTTCAGATAGGGGTGCAGAAGCTCCAGATTCCACACACCAAAGCTCTCAGCCCAGAAGACTTTAAGGACTTATTCACTTTATGGTTTGGGGGCTTAAGGTCATTTTCAGTGGTGCCCGCCACAGGCTAGGTGATTCATAGCCGATGTTGCAGAATGACCATGAAAAATGACTCCTCCGCCAGGGGTAATGAGTTTTCCAGGCCTCCCTAAGTACACATTACTTATTGTCACATTAATGATAAAAGTAGAACAACTCCTAGTAAGACTGGCATCACCCAGTTGTATTAAATTAATGAATACTTAATGGTGATATCAAATACTTTTTGGTTATTTATCTTGAATCAATCAGGGAGTAAATGGGTCAATTGTCAGTCACTGGCATTAAACACCATTAAGTAGTGGCACCAAATTGGATCATTTAGGTGACTAATAGAAACTCAGAACATTGTAACTTGAGTTTAGGTTCTCATAGCAACAAACAGGAGGCTACAGGAGAATCAGGGAAGCAATGAGAGAAAAGGCATGATGTATGTTGTCAAAAGTGCAAGCCCAACAATGCAGAATGAATGGAGAGACACTACCAGTGAGGAGATGGAAGAAGAGGAAGTAATCTTACAAAGCGCTGCAGAGGACAGGGCAGCTCAGCCCAGGAAGCCTGGGGTGGGTTGCAGGATTAAGTCCTCAGGAAGGACACAGATCTCCTGCCTGGGCAAACCGGAGAGCTCAGGTCCAGATGTGGGAGTGACAGCTGCAGTGGCAGATTACCTGTCTGAAATGCTGCTCAGAGCTCGGTAGCAGGGAGAACTGGAAGTCAGACCCAAGTTCACACCTCTGTACCATGCCTCTCAGATATCTGCTGCATATTTATGTAACTGAACATAATGTGCATATAATCTTCATCAGTTCCTAACATACTGCCGACATGATAGGACTGGTTGAAGCAGGCCTGACTGACTATGGATGAGTCTGGGACTTTGTGGGTAATCCATTTCATGCAGAGGCAGAAGAAAAGTAATCATCTTGAAAAATCTTACATCCACAGCCTCTCCTGGGAGGTCAGGAGAAAGTGGTGGCTTAAGGACAGAGTTTCAGTCATGTCACAAATAGAGATTTATTTTTTTAAAGAGGGTCCTAGCATTGGGAGAAGTATCAAGCTAATTCCAGCAAAACAACTCTGCCCCCCCCCACTATGAAAATGCAAATGACAGCTGGGCGCTGGTGGCTCATGCTTGTAATTCTAGCTACTCAGGAGGCTGAGATCTGAGGATCACAATTCAAAGCTAGCCCGGGCAGGAAAGTCCGTGAGACTCTTACCTCCAATAAACCACTCTCTGGCCTTCATGGCTGTTTCCTAATGGGGTTAAGTGTATTTGCTGGCTGTTGGTCTTTGAGGCATGAGTCCACCATACAGATGATGGCCTTTTAATAAAGACTCCAGAGTTGACCTCTCAAAATGTGGCTTCTCTGTTTTCTCTGTATCTTGCTATTGAATTCACTTTATAACACCATCTCTTGCATGCACAACATTTTGCCCTTGTGCATTTTTTCTTTATTGTTTCTGACCCACACATATGCTATGTATTTTTTGGGGCAGTGTCAGTATTGGGTCTTGAACTCAGGACCTCTCAGTTGGCTTTCTTGTTCAAGGCTAGTGCTCTACTACTTGAGCTACAGGTCTACCTCTGTCTTTTCTGGAGGAATTAATTGAAGATAGGTACCTCATAGACTTGCCTGCCTAGGCTGGCTTTGGGACCTGATACTCAGATCTCAGCCTCCTGAAAGGCTGGGGTTATAGGCATGAGCCACCAATGCCTGGCTATATGATGATGATTCTGGTTCTTAATCATTTGTTGGCACAAAAGCAACTACAATGCACACCAATGAAGTATTATTAATAAGCTCCTGAGGGAACATAAAGAAAAGATTTCTTACCTGTCTGCCCAGCACAAGCAGTGTGATGAAGAATATAGAGAGGGACACGGAGCCCATGGTCTTTAGGTCTTTCCAAATGCCTGGCCTATTAAAAACAAAAACAAAACCAACAGACAAAACAACATGCACACAGGACTTAGAATTCCAGCATCAACAAACTTGAGAACCCCCAGAGCATGCTCAAATTCCACCCTACAAAGCACACATTTCAACATATCCCAAACCTAAATTGAACCAGAATAAGCCAAAAACTTCACCTTCTGCAAGCACAGTCAAAAGGCAGTACTTCCAAACTCATAGGGGCTTTTACTTTACATCAAGCTCCAATAAAGATAAAAGTCAGAACTAGCAGAGCATTAAAACCATGCTCTTTATACCTTGGGGGTCAATGGGGAGAACCGGACATCTCGTTTCTTCCACCTTTTCATTGCCATTTGAGACAGTAAGCTTGAAATGATTAATCATGTGAGGCATAAAAACGAAGGAGGGAACTTTGTTTCTACAAGCCCCTCTGACCTGTGGCTGATGCAGTTTCCCGCACTTGGTAGAGAGTACTCAATTGTCCTCATTTTCCTATGATTTCATGCACAGAGGAGGGCGCCTGTCCATGGCTGCTCCTCCTCAGGTCCAGGTCATTTCTTCCTTCTCACTTTCTTGCTGTGCTGGCCAGAGCCTCCCTGTCCCAGAACCACAGGGCCTGCAATGCTACATGGCACTAGGCGACAGCTACCACCATCCCCAGGGGAGTCCTGCGCAGCCTAATGAAGGGTCATTTCTCACATGGAGATGTGGGGAAGACTGGAAAAGTCAAGGTTCACTCGCTTCCACCCCTGTCCCAGCAGCAGCCCAGGAGGAGTGCCGAGCGTTCACTTTCCTCTGGTTTATCCTTGCCTTTTGACTTTCTAGTTCCCCCCAGAGCTTCGGCGGTGGCTAAGAGGAAAGCAGCCATGGAGGGCTTTAAAGTCAATCACTTGGGTTTGAAATCTGAGTGATGGGACCTTGGATAAAGTTCTGCAAACCTTATCCACCCAAAAGGGTACCAGCGCCCACTTGTTCTGGACATTTTATCATGTATCTGTCCACACAGCAGAGTCTGACACCAAAGTCCTTCATGAGTGGTACTCATGATTTTAGGGTTAATGGCTGAATGATAAAGGTAAAGAAACTCGAAAGCTAGAGAAGAAGATAAGGAGGTCCATAATGACTAAGTTCACTTAGTCATTGTACATGAGCTTCATGTACAAAAGAAGAGTGGATTCCTGGAGGCGTTAGGAGACCCAACCACTCCCCCTGCCCCCCCCCCCCAGTGAGCCCTGCTGGCTTACAAGCTGGGGATGTGGACCCCATGAAGGTTTTATGTGCATTGGCTTCCTGCTTCACTTAGGACTGATTTTCATGAAGTGGGGTTGCTCCTCTCAGTCCAGGGCAGCTGTGTCTAACAGCACAGCTGGAGTGACCCTCACCGACAAACAACGCTGCCCTCAACTTCATTTTAAACTCAATCTTTTCTTCTGCACGGACACCAGTTCAATGGTTAGTTAAGCAGCACAACACAGCCCCCTGTCTGGGAGGCTGGTCTAGGCTGCTCACCAGCCTAGAAGCCAGGGCATGCCCTCCGTCCAACCGACCCTGTGCGAACCCAACTAGGAGCAAAATGCAGATGCCCAGCTCAGGAGTCGGTGGGAGCTTCATCATCGCCATGAGTCGGACCTCTGCTCCCTTTCGCACCCCCAGGGAAGGGACCTAGAAACCCAAACACACAGAGGCAGCCACTTGGAGACAGGATCCTTTTATGCGACTCAGGAGCTGGCTGGGTTTCCAGTAGCAGATGACAAGTGCACAGGGAAGCCAGTGGAGAAATCTTTTCTGGGGACTCTTCACAGGGACACGTCTGGAGTGTGGTTTGGTCTGGGGTGGAGGCACATCCATTCCATCTATCTCCCCAGCCTTGTACCTGACTTACCATGGCGGTGAGTGGTGGCTAGCCAGGGAGGAAGCTCTCCACGCTGGTCAGGGGAGAGGATCACCAAGTCTGGACTTTTACCCCTCCTTCCTGCTTCCCTTGCTGGTATGTCGACGAGCGAAGGCGGGCAGGAGGAGGAGGTGGCCAGAGGGCCAGAGTCTTCCACAGATAGGATATAATCTCAGATAGCTTCTGGGTAGCGTCCAAGCCACAGTATTGATCACTGTATTAGTTGTTTCCCATTGTGCAGCAACACAGTAGCAACACCACAGGGTGGCTTCAAGCAGCAGGGATTTATTGTTGATAGGTTCTGAGTTCGGGAGTCTAAGTCAGGATGCCTTCTGCACCACCCCCCTGAAACCTACAGGAAATCAGTTCTTGCTGCAGCCTAGGCTCTGGCAGCTGGCTGGCTGTCCTTGGTGCTCCCTGTGGGTAATCTTCCCTGCTCCCCGGCTTGCCTCAATGTCACTCCTGTCTCGGTCTTCATCACCTGGAGATTTCCCGCGTGTCTGTCACTTCATGTGACATCTTCTTATGAAGACACCAGCCGTATTAGACTAGAGGGCTTTGTAATTTTGCAAACCTCACCTTAATTAATTGCATCTGCAACAACCTTATTTCCAGAAAAGGTCATGTGAGGAAGGATTAAAATTTCAGCATACCTTTTTTGGGGGGGACATAAGTCAACTCAGCAGTCAGGCTTTACATAAAGAAGACCTCACCGGTGCTACCCATTCGGTGACATCCCCTGTGAGCTGTGCTCTGAGCATGGCACTGTCACTGACTGACAGGAGGGGACGTCGGTAGTACAAATGAGTTTTCCAACAGCATCACAATGTAGTCACAACTATCTATCCACAAGTTAGACTCCAGGGATGTCGGCCCACAAACATGCCTGTAGCTATCCAGGCACCGATTTGCAAGCGGCTGCTCTCTGCCTGAGGCTGCTAATGAGCAATCCTTCTGACCCTCAGGTTTCAGGAGTCCAGAGAGCAACATATCTGATCAAGCAGAGTGAAAAAGACATGGAGGAATTACTTGGTGAACGTGTGGCTATTCAAAATGCAAAAAGCTTGGGTAAGATAAACAGGACACTCATTAGTCCCAAGGGAGAAAGCAATCCAGGCACACAGACACACATATATTCTTCCTTAAAAAATAACCCTCCACCAAAAAAAACCTGGACATTTTCTTAGGTGAAATGGACTATTTCTTAAATAAGAGACGTACACAAAGAAACCTACTTTCTGTTGTGCTGTGACTAGTTGACTGACTGAAATAGAAATATATATTCTCAGGTCACTGATGGGGATAAGCATTCATCTGACCCTGGGTCTGGATTTCTGTCCATGACTCATAAAGAAGAGGACAGGGGCCTGGGATGACGGCTCTGGGGTAGAGGGCTGCCCCTCCCTGTGATGCTCAAGCCCTCCCTTCAAACCCACTACTGTAAAACAACAACAACAAAAACACCCCAAACCAGGGTCTCTGGCTGACTTATTCGCTGGCTTTCTTAGCCATCTCTTGGCTACACTAGTAAGTAAGGAAGTGCCTGACTTTGCCCACAAGAGACCCCTGAATCCACAGGAAGCCGTGATGTGAACCATGTGCAGAGTGGAGGCTCTAGTGGATGTCCTGAGAATGAGTCCTCTCCCCATGGTCTACTCAGCACGAGCTGTGAAGTTAATTATAGGTTCCCATGATGCAGACCAGAACAGAGCAAAACAAAGCACTCCAGAAAACAAATGTTGAGTACAAAATGAGCGAAGCAAAATAAAGACAGCTCTGAGTGCTGTAGTGCATCTTCCTCTCGGCCTGGGCGGTGAGGGAGGGCAGGGAAGTGCTACTAAGCCTTCTGAGGTGCTTATGGTTTCCCTTCCTCCTTCCCCTCCCCTCTCTTCCCTTCCCCTTCCCTTCCTTTCCCTCCCCCCTTCACTCTTCCTTCCCCTTCCCTCCCCTCCTCTCTTTCTTTGCTAGTTCTGGGGCTTGAGCTGAGGGACTGGGTGCTGTTCTTTCCCTTAAGGCTAGTGCTCTATCACTTTGAGCCCTGTACCACTGCAGACTTTCTAGTCGTTAATTGGAGATAAGAGTCCCATGGATTTTCTTGCCCAGGATAAGTCTGAATCATCATCTTCAGATCTCAGCTTCCTGAGTAGCTAGGATTACAAGCGTGAGCCACCAGTGATCGCCACAATGTTCTTTATGTCTGTGTGTCTCTTCTTCTAACTCTACTTCTTGACTTGTCACCTAAGCCGCAGCCTTGTTGAGGCTCACTAGAGCCTGATGGGTGACAAGGCATGAGCGGTACTGTGTAGCCAGGTCCCATAGGCCATATGAAGTGTGATCAATAACAGCTCATTATAAAAATAAGGTTAAACTGTCACGTTGGCTAGGGATGGCTAAACTTCCCTGCAGGGTTTCTAGACACTCTTTCTCCCCTTATTGGACACAATTCATGACAATTCTGTGCACATTTCCAGACAAGCTGGCTCACTGCCATCCAGGGACAGAATCGTGCTTTTGTAATGTGGTACTTGCAAAGGCAAGCAGATATTCTAGTGATGCACAATAAGAGAACAGCTCATACTCCTGCTGAGGAAAGAGCCCCGAGGAGGTCCGAAGGAACGCTGTGCGGGGCTGTGTGGCTGTGTGGGGCTGTGCGGGGCTGTGCGGGGCTGTGGGGCTGTGCGGGGCTGTGTGGGGCTGTGCGGGGCTGTGTGGGGCTCTGCGGGCTGTGCTGGCCTGTGCCAGGCTGTGTGGCTGTGTGGGGCTGTGCGGGGCTGTGTGGCTGTGTGGGGCTGTGTGGGGCTGTGCGGGCTATGTGGGCCTGTGCGGGGCTGTGTGGGGCTGTGCGGGGGCTGTGCGGGCTGTGCTGGCCTGTGCGGGCTGTGTGGGGCTGTGCGGGCTGTGCGGGGCTGTTCGGGCCTGTGCGGGCTGTGTGGGGCTGTTTGGGCTGTGAGGGGCTGTGTAGGGCTGTGTGGGCTATGCGGGCCTGTGCGGGGCTGTGGGGCTGTGTGGGGCTGTTTGGGCTGTGTGGGCTGTGAGCTGTGTGGGGCTGTGTGGGCTATGCGGGCTGTGCGGGGCTGTGGGGCTGTGCGGGCCTGTGCGGGGCTGTGGGGCTG